TATTTTCATTTTCTGCTGCGCTATACCCTCTTACCTATCTGCACCACGATACCACTGACTGACCCAAGAGTACGACCCCCCATGACCCAGCCCGACAGGTACGACCCCCCTGTCGAGGATTTCCTCGACCGATATTCACCCTGGTCGGGATATGTCGAGGAAGAACAGGAAGCATTTTTACATAGGATTAAAAATGTTTCTAGAGAAGATCAAACCTTCTTCAAGTTTACGGACTTCAACGCGATTGATCGAAGAACGGCTGAATAACATCACGGAATGGAATGGAGTGAGCAGGGCCAATGGGCAAAGGACTGAGGTGCTTACACGGATAGATGTGTCCAGTACCGCTCTATCGTGTCTATTCTTACAGCCATTATTCGATGCCTTGCTTACACTCGAGGCCTTCAGAGGCTCAGACATGAGTCTACACGCTTAACAACTCGAAATGCCCACCTCTCATCCCTAACTTCGTTTTCTACAGGATAAACTCAAATAACTAACTTTGGGCTCGCACTCATGTCGTGAAGATCAGGGGGCTCTCTATATATTATTCCCCAAAATGCCCTCATTCCAAAAGGAGAGTAAGCGATCAACGGAGACTGGAGCCCTTCTGTCCCTGGGAGGCCCCGATTTTTGCTTATTTTTTTCTTCTTGAAGTTTCGGTTGTTTTTTGGTTGTACGTTTCTATTTAAGCGATAATTCTTATCAATAGACCGCCTAATTGAAATATGTCGAGGATGAGCTGTGGGATTCTGACGCAGAAATCGAAAAAAGATTTGTGAGATTTACAGGCAGTGGGACCAATTGTTTGCATTGAAGGAAAATTCTGCTTGACATACAGTAGCGGTCAAAAGTGTTCGCCGAAACGGTTTTTTGTGCTTTTCTTGCTTTTGCCATAAAAATTCAATAGTGACCTCGAAAATTTTTCCTTTTGAATAACTGATTCTTTAAGACTTGGGAAAATCGTCCCGAACACTTCTGACTGCTACTGTACATGACCCTGAGTTAGGTGACGCTACTTGGTACCGCATTTACCACCAATCCGTACCGCAATTCATTCTCAAAATGCCAACGCACGCATAGTTGTTCGAGAGAAGTTCTGGAATTAAAACGACGAAATCGGTTAAAACGACGAAACCACTGCTGAACCTGAACTTACCTGCAATGTCATTTTGATCTCATGATTACGACTAAGTGAAAGCATCCGCTTTTTTACCAGTATAAAGAGAAGTAAGGCATAAGCAGCGAAGTTCACGACTCCAACCAAATAGTTAGATGCCTTGTTAATTCTGAAAGCAGAATAAAATTGATCAGCGGCACACTGGCATTCAATCCACGCATGGAACTAGGAACAGGACACCTCAAATGAGCTGGCTGCTACGATGCAGTTGCAGCTATTGTCAAGGTGCCACATTATTTGGATAGTCACTCCAGAGAGGAGAAACTCATTTATAAAAATTTGTTGGAAATCGGAATGTTTTGGGTTTAGCGGCCAGTTCCGCTAGCGTGTAGTTACTCAATGATTGTGTGGGACTCTAGCATGTTTAACCATTCGTTCGTATTCATTTATGCTCGGTAGATATAATCGCGACGTGCGATGAAAGATGACGTCATATTCGTTGACGGTAAGGGCAGTGGAGAAGGAGAGGCTGCTTCTGCAGTCTAGGCGTTATCTAAGGATGTTTGCCGTATATCCTACACCAACAGCCGCACCTGCGCGCGGAAAAGTTCAGTGATGTGCGCCATGGGCAATGTGCCGTTTAGAAGTTTATCAAGCGGTATCAGGATGCAACAATTTTTTCATCAACAACAACTTTTGCACTGTATGTAATCGCATAACACCGGTGTTAGCAAGCGTCATTCTGGGTCACATGGAGAAGGTATCATGAACAAGTAAAATTTTTCGCTACTACCCTTATATTGACAACTTTTTTGGAACAACATAAGAAGACTAGGAAGACTTCGAGGACACGTTACAGGGACTCAACACTCATAAAATAAACATAATCCTGACAAGAAAACCCAGGAGTTACGGCTTCTAACTGTTCCAAATTAAAATCACTTGAAGGCTACAGGGAATGCTTTTTGGTATATGAAGAGAGCCTCGTAGAAATATTGTCCATTCGAGACACTCAACTGTAATGAAGGCAAAGTCACCTGAAACATAGTCAGAACCAAGGAGAAGCTTCGAACACGAAGGGGCTTCACCATGAACGCTAAAGTTGGAAGCAATCTTGAAACTGGAGGAAAATTGAGAATCTTCTATGTTCCGCATAGATCACTGGAGGGAGCAACATTATACGCCGTTTGTCACGAAAAAATGGCTCATGAGATGAAGAACTGCCAAAATTTCGTACGACTTCTCCTGTGACTACTTGCCGCGCTCAGAGATCATTTCACTTGTTCCCGAACGTCCGAAAGTCAGTGTGACGAGAATCTTGTCAATATTTCACATCTAACAAGATATGGGGACTTCAAGTCACAGTCCATTTCATTCGGTGCAAAGTGTGTAGAGAAATGCGTTGAAGAGGCAGCAAGAGCTTTGAAGATTAGCCTGGATGAACACAGAAGTTTTCCATGCAATCCTTAGGGGCTTCTCGAATGATCAGTGAAGTTCTTTCGTTTAGGATTGGCCCCATTAACCTAATGGGTACTTCTACTCTCTGCTAATTCTGGTGTGTATAGACGATATCACGATCGTGTTTTTTGTAAGTAGGAAATCGCTCACTTGCAATTATCATGATTTAGATTGATCTAATGATAACATGATCGCCGAAAGCTTTTCAAAAATCGTGAACATAGACATTAATAACATTCAGTATTTAATGAATAATCGATTGAATCTAAGAGATAGTAGCATTTTGTCATAATGCTAAAGTTGCTTACATGTAGAATGCACGCGCATTGCGACTTGTCATGGCCACGAAGCTCATAAAAGCGTCGATCCATCGTACACCAATAAGTGGCGTGTTAAAGACGGCCACGAGCAAAACTGATACAATTCCAATAAAAATGATAATAATCTGGAATTCATGTAAGAATTCATGAGGAGATCGTGCAACTGGATTCTATTCGCAGCAACACTTGGTTGCGCTTTGTTTCTGTGCCTGAAGTTATTCACTGTAAATCTTGCACCTGTCTCAGCACCACTCGAAAGAAGTACCACTTTGTGTAGCGCAATTTTTTTGACCAGAGCGTTCTTCAATATTCCGACTGCACTCCAATCAGATATGGTTTCAAAAAATATAGAATATCAGGATAGCAAAGGCGTTCTAGCGACTGCTATTTTTGCGAGTCGGTGCATTCGTGCCGTCAGTGATGAAAAGGCCCGTTGCCACATCGGCAACCTGACTACTTGATAGCGATTTTTCAAGCAAAACGTGGAGGTGACTTGGAAAACACGGTGCACCAAAATGTCATGATTCGCGTATGTAGGGGCTGAAAAACGTCGCTTGACAAGCATAATGATCGACAAGAACTTGTGAATGGAACGGTTGCTTCGCAAGCGCTGCACGATCAAGAGGGGCCACCGAAACTATTGATACATTGATAAACCCAATTTAGAAGAAATAAGCCAGGAAACAGCAGTGAAGAAGTTATCGAAAAGTGGATATTCATTGAGAGTAAAGTGGTTGTTCACTCTCTTTCCCTTGCACGGGGTAGACATGGCACAGAGAGAGAGAGCAGAATCTTCAATGTGCATAGCAAATCGAAAAGGGCCTGCGTATTGTTGACGATGAACCCCGAACCCTCAGAGGAATCCTTTACGAAAAAATCATGATTCTATTTCAGCCATAATCACTGGCTTGAGACTCATTATCCACGATAAGAATGAAAAGAACAGAAAATTGCATTTGTTTTGGTAAAAATTCGAAAAACCGAAAGGGCTGCTACGCGTTCAAAGTACCGCCGCACATCTGTCACAAATGCGAAGGGAATGCTTCCACTTGGTTCTTGGAGTGCATTCACTAAAACTCTTTCTGGTCTTTTGCAAGAATTTCCCTTTGAGGATTTCTTTAATGATGACAACTCCTGTGAGAATTCGCAGAAAGGATCCGTTTCAAACGATTTCATCTAAAGCAATGTAGTAGACAGATGCAGCTTGATCGCCTTGACCTAATCGCTCAATTTTTATTTGAAGGTAGTCTTCGTCCAAGAGGTGGCGGGGTCCGCTCCTCCAAGTGGTGCCACTTAGAACTGCTCACTTTTGTGGGCTAAGCTGATCGCGGACATTCGAATGAGGCGACAGGCCCCCGTGACAGGCCGGTCTACGAATATCCACGTCACATCTTCATGGTTAATGACGTCATATGATTTCCGATATAATGCTACGGCGTCCGCGGGAGCCGACGCGCACTCGCAAAGCCCGGCGAGTGTGAAAAGTATGCGAGGGTCTCCGACGCAAGGACGGCGTCGGGGGGCAACTAAGCTAGTCCACAAGTCCTGCAACGCACGGAAGATTCGCGTTGCGACGTTAAATGTTGGCACGTTAACGGGCCGCTCGTACGAGTTAGCAGAAGCTCTAGAGCGCCGAAGAATTGATTTCTGTGCCGTGCAGGAAACGAGGTGGTCCTGCTGCAGAGTCGAGAGATATTGGACGAGGCTTCAAAGCCGTTCTTTGTGGCGGTCCTAGAACCACCAGGGGTCGGAGTAGTTGTTTCTGACCGCTTCCGTGACTCGATCGTAAGCGTTGATCGTTTTGACGACCGTCTAATGAAGCTTGTTGTCGTCATCGAACGTAAGCGATACCACTTCTTCTTCTGCATATGCTCCGCAGACTGGCTGCTCTGAGCGAGCTAAAGATGAGTTCTGGACCCTGCTGGATGAAAAACCGCAGAGGTACCATCAGAAGAGGCTGTCATCGTTGCAGGTGACCTTAACGGTCACGTCGGCGATGCGAAAGATGGGTACAACTGTCATGGTGGATTTGGATATGGGTCACGTAACACCGATGGCGAACGAATTCTTGAGTACGCGACGATTCTCAATCGTGAATACTCACCATCGTGAATACGAATTTCCGGAAACGTGATTCCCAACTGATCACATTCTACAGCGGTACTACCAGAACGCAAATCGACTTTGTCCTCGTCAGGCAACGCGATCGAGGGCTTTGTAACAGACGCAAAGGCGGTGCCGTATGAGACTGTCACCACGCAACATCGACCGCTGATTTGCACGCTGAAGATCGCTTCTCCGAAAATGAAACACATCGAGCGGTGTGGACCAGCGAGAATCAAGTGGTGGCGTTTGAAAGAGAAGGAGACGGTCGTGATATCCAACATTCAGTTGCCGGCAGTCACTACTGTTGATGAAACTTGGAAAAGTGCTGCCGAGGCGATAATCCGTTCTGCCCGTTCCGAACTCGGCACAACAAAACCTGGGCGACGGAAGATCGACAAGCAATCGTGGCTATGGACGGACGATGTGAAAGAAAAAGTACGTGAGAGAAGAAGAGGCTTTACCACGTATTTCTTGGCGATAAGACTGTCGACAACTGGCGAAGGTATCAGGCAGCTAAGAGTGCGACAAAGAAGGCCGTTGCTGCCGCAAAAGCTGCACACTTTGCTGATGTCAGCGAGAAGCTCGAGACGCGCGATGGTGAACGCTATATTTATCGCCTCGCCAAAGCCCGTCATCGCCAGTCCGAGGATATCGAGAAGTTTTTCGGCATCAACGACGAAAATGGTCACCTCCTGACGGACCGCAAAAAAGCAGTGAAGCGATGGCACGACCCGATGATTTGGCGGCCGACATATGGAAGTCGAAATGCTGGTGTCCTGCTGAATGGTTGACCACGTTTTTCAACCAGATCGTAGCAGAGAGAAAGGTGCCTGAGAGCTGGCAACAGAGCACAACGATTCCGATTTGGAAGAAGAAAGGCAGCCCTGCTGACTGTACGAGTTACCGTCCAATCCGCCTGCTCTCGCACAGCATGAAGATCTTTGAGCGAATTGTGGACGGCCGTATTCGTGACATCGTGCAGCTTTCCATCAACCAGTGTGGATTTGTGTCAGGCTGCGGCACCATCGATGCAATACACGCCGCCCGCCTTCTGCTGGAAAGACATCGCGAGAAAAGAAAAGCTGTGCATCTTGCCTTCCTGGACCTGGAGAAGGCTTTTGATCGCGTTCCTCGAGAAGTTATATGGTATGCCTTACGGCAGCACGACGTTCCCGAAGAGCTCATTGAGTGGGTGCGCATACTTTACTCGAACTCAAGGAGTCGGGTGCAAACGGTGGCAGGTACTTCGATGGAATTTCCCATCTCGGTCGGTGTGCACCAAGGCTCTGCGCTTTCCCCACTCCTATTCATTGTCGTTATGGATGCCATTTCGCGTGATCTTCAGGAGCCCGCTCCATGGACGCTTCTCTATGTTGACGATGTG